AAAAAAAAAAAAAAAAAAAAAAAAACCACCACCACACTTCTGTACCTGACCTCTACCAGGAGGGCTGGTCTGTATCTGTTGTCAACACTGAGCCTCTAGGATCAGCAAGAGGTGAAAGCTGGGAAAACAAGATGATTTAACTACCTCTTTTTCAAAGAGAAAGGTCACTTGGTCTCTTGTAATGGATCTGGCAGAAGCAGGCTGCTCAGCAGGGGGCTTTTACAGAAGCATGGCTTTATTTTTTCAGACCTAGTAAAAATGGCCAGACTGAACATAAAAATCACTGCTAAGATACTCAACCCTAAATCATTTTAAAACTGTCCTTTTGTTTTATTACTGGGCACAGTACAGCTTAATATGATAAAAAGCCACAGTAATACAAACACTCTCTAGCTCCCCCCCTTTTTATTAACAAAAAAAAGAATAAGACACACAATATTTGGAAAGAATCAATGTCCCAGGAGACCACTTCCAAAAGTGGTTTTGCCACAGTTGCAGTTTTGTTTTTTAACTAAAACCTATCATTTTGTTGCTGTTACTGTGTGACGCTGAAGAGCTTGAGCTTGCAGCATTGCCTCTGCTTACTGTGATGGAAGGAAGCTTCTTAAGAGCTCAAAGGCTTGCAAATATGCTCAGTCATGGTCCCTTGCAGTCAGAGGAAGCTGTATGACACAGGTGGGATTGCTGAGACACCTCAGTAGGAAACTGGAACCTTCTTTTAGAGAGGCTCATATTATCCAGAAGTGTAACAGGCTCATCCAGCAGAGGGTTAAAGCACTGCTGTATCCAGACAGCTTTCCTGCAGACAGTGCAGAGACTTCCCCCACAGGCAGGACCGCTTCTCACCAAGTCAGCTAGATCCATAGCAGGTGAGGCTCAGTGAAGCTTGGAGAAAAGCTTTCATCATTAAAGCAGGCTTAGCTCCTCAAAAAAACTGATCTAAACTAGAAGGCACAAATGCAAGGTTGAATGTGAACCACATACCACTGTAGTATGCAAATAAAACAGTTCAGATACTTCTCCTAAGTGGACATACAACACATAATAAATACATGACATTTAAGAAAAAAGTGCATTCATCTGATCCTTTGCAAGGCAAGGAAGTAGTACCACAGCAGCCTACAGAGGCTAGTTCTCTTAATATTGCACAGAAATCCTGACATTTCCTGTCAGGTCATTGTAGTGGAGCAGGGACAGGGAAAAACAGGAGATCTTGTTTGGCAGCACCTGCCTAAGGCTCCACCACCACACAAGCAGCTTTGCCAGTCTGAGGTAGAATTACATGTATACTGCTTCAGCTCAGTTAAGTCCTGCTCAACTGGTCTCTAGAGAAAGAAGAGGAAAGGAGAAGGGAAAAGGGAAAAAAAAGAAAACTAAGAGGAAGGAAGCACACGGAAGAGACAAGCCTCTTCTCTAGAGAGAGAGCTTCAGGTTTGACCCCAGAAGCAACTCATAGAGAGCAGAGTTATCTACCAGCCAGTAGCTGGCTTAGTGTTACAGATAAGGAGTGTAACAGGCACATCAATTGCAAGTCCCATAGCAAGCATCCTTTACAGCTCCTCCTCTTCCCCCCTCCCCTATTATTTGCTAAGATTCCCTTTATATTCGCCCAGTCCAGTATATTTTGTTGGAATTAAGGTTGTCCTACTTTCTCCCTTATGTTCATTTTACTGGTGTCCCACAAGTCTTCTGCTTCAGCCCCTAGAAGGGACATTTGCAGTTTCTTCTAGGGATTCCTCTGTGAGGTACAAGCTGGGAAGAATAGAAATAAGGGCCTCTTCAATGGAGAAGAGATGTTCATCCTCTGCTTGAGGACAGAAGAAGCGCATGAAGTCCGCCAGTCTCAGCAAGTACTCGATGTTATGGCCAGCACAACCACTTGAGACAATGATTTGAGCTGCAATGTCTTCTTCAGAGGCTGGGCCCAGGTAGGACGGGTTCTGCGGCGTCGCGATGTAAACGAGAGCCAAGATGGGCTCTCCCGCATCCTTCTCCTGCGGGTGGAACTTCACGAGCTTGGTGTCGTAGCCTCCCAGGACGGCTTCGCGCACGTTCAGGTACTGCAGTGATGCAGCAATTTGCTCTCCACACACCTTGTAGGCTACGCCCCAGGTGCACGCCTGGAAGAGGAGCAAGGCGGTTAGAGATGCTGCAGCTCCAGCAAAGCAAGACCACCTATGTCTTCAGGTTTCCACTGGCAACCTGCTCGGAGATGGAGCTGACAGACAGAGGCAGCACAGGAGCATCCTCCCCCACCCAGGGCGCTACCTGCGGCTGCCTAGGGCAGCGGGGACCCGCCACCCGGCCCGGCTCCCCGGCCCCAGAGCGCAGCCCCGCACTCACCCCGCGCTCCTCCAGCAGCGTCACCACCCGGCCGGGCTGTTGGGAGAGAGAGAGGGAGAGATGGAGCCGTTAGAGCCGTTGGAGCCGGGTGCCCCCCGCGGCGCGCCACCCAGGGCGCCCGGCACTTACCGCCTTGGCGCTGCCGCGGTGGAAGGTGTCGCCCTGCCAGAAGCGGCGGCTGTAGCCGCGGATGAAGCCCACCTTGCGCGACGTGAACTCGAAGCCCGGCCGCCACACGAGCGAGCCGTAGCCGAAGATCCACACGGGCGGCTCGGGCTCGGCGGCGCCCGCCTCCGCCGCGCGGGGCGGCAGCACCGGCACCTCCTGCTCCCGTTTCATGGCGCTCGAGGCTGCGGTCACTCAGGACAGCGGCGCAAGGCGCTCGTGCCGGGCAGCTCTCGCCGCCGCCCTTTAAAGGCCCGGCCGCCGCCGGCCCCGCCCCCCTGCCGGCGGACGGCTCCTCATTGGCAGCGGGGGACCGCTGCCGCGCACTGATTGGCGGCGGCGCGGGGTGATGCAACGCGGCTGCCGGGTTTCGCGCATGGGGCAAAGCGGGGCGCGGGTTGCGTCAGGCATGGGGTGCGCGGGGGGCTGCGACCGTTGGAGCCGTTAGAGCCGTTGGCGCTGCGGCCGTTGGCGCTGCGGGAGGGTCGCCCCCTCCTTATGGCCAGGGGCTTCCTGGCCTCGGTGCTGGCCAGCTCCCGCCTTCCCTGGCAGCAGGTCGGCCTTGACGTTGCCAGCCCGGGGCGGTCCCCACCAGCCTCCATCAGATCTCGTGGGGACACGAAGCCACTCCCGCAGGCTGGGGAAGGGGAAGCCTCACTTTGCAGTTGGCCACCCAGATGTTTGTGGCACTGTGCCTCAGGGCTGCAGGACACACGTAATCTGTCTGAGGTCAGGGGCCGTGTTGCGTCTGCCACGCCAGTATTTCCATGTCACCGTGCCAAGTGTCACTGGTGTGTCCTAAGCCGGGGTGGATGCCCCAGTGTCTCGCTGGGCTGGGTCCAAAGCACTTGTGGCTCCCTGGCTGCTCTGGTGCTGACTCAGCCAAGAGCGTGGCTGTGGGCTACGAAGAGAAGTTGAGTTTCTGGCAATCTGCAGCTGTGAGGACCAGAGTGGGGTTTCTCCGGTCAAGCTCTTGTCCTCAGACAAATATTTTGCATCTTCCAATAAGGTCAGAAATGCCACCAGGCAGCATTCAGAAGGATCCTAATTCTGGTGGATGTCAAAATCAGCCTTTTCTATGATCTCTCAGTAAAATAGCCTTCCGGTGGAAAAAAAAGGTGTTGTTAGTGACATTCCAGCCCGGTGATCACCGTGGATCATCAGCTGCCAGACCCTTACTCACAGCGATGACCAGCTCCTCAATTTTGGGGAAGATATGCATGTAGGTACTGCTTGGCACTTGATGGGGTTTTCCGCTTTCTGTTTGTACAGTCTTAGCAAGGGTTGACGAAGTAGATTATCTTCAGACGGAACTTAAAATACATATAAGGAAAAGTTACGCATTAGACGATAGAAGCAGGAATTATCATGTGTGTTTCCTCATTCTCCAGCCTGACCATGCACGTGCACGCTCATTGCGCTGCAAAACCCACCAGTATTATTTTATTTTATTTTATTTTATTTTATTTTATTTTATTTTATTTTATTTTATTTTATTTTATTTTATTTTATTTTATTTCTATTTATTTTATTGCTATTTATTTTATTATTTATTTATTATTTATTTATTTATTTATTTATTTTATTTTATTGCTATTCCAGAGGGACCTGGACAGGCTGGAGAGTTGGGCAGAGAGGAACCTCATGAGATTCAACAAGGATAAGTGCAGGGTCCTGCACCTGGGGAGAAATAACCCCAGGCATCAGTACAGATTAGGGGTCGACCTGCTGGAAAGCACCTCCATGGAGAGGGACCTGGGAGTCCTGGTTGACACCAAGTTAACCATGAGTGAGCAGTGTGCCCTCGTGGCCAAGAGGGCCACTGGGATCCTGGCCTGCATCAGGAGGAGCGTTGCCAGCAGGTCAAGGGAGGTGATTCTGCCCCTCTACTCAGCTCTGGTGAGGCCGCACCTGGAGTACTGTGTGCAGTTCTGGGCACCCCAGTATAGGAGGGACGTGGAGCTTCTGGAGAGGGTCCAGAGAAGGGCAACCAGGATGATTAAGGGAATGGAACATCTCTCGTATGAAGAGAGGCTGAGTGAGCTGGGCCTGTTTTCTCTGGAGAAGAGACGGCTCAGAGGGGATATGATTAATATGTATAAGTTCAGGAAGGGAGAATGCAGGGAGGAAGGGGACAAGCTGTTCTCACTGGTGGCCAGCGATAGGACGAGGGGTAATGGCCACAAGCTGAAGCACAAGGAGTTCCGTCTCCAGGTGAGGAGCAACTTCTTTACTGTTAGGGTGACAGAGCAGTGGAACAGGCTGCCCAGGGAGGTTGTGGAGTCTCCTACTCTGGAGGTCTTCAAAACCCGCCTGGATGCCGCCCTGTGCCACATGCTGTAGGTGTGCCTGCTTGAGCAGGAAGGTTGGACTAGATGATCTCTAGAGGTCCCTTCCAACCTTAAATATTCTGTGAATCTGTGAATCTGTGAATCTGTGACTACATATTCAATCCACCAAGGAACGGATTGGTTCTGCAGGAAAGCTGTCCATCAGAGAGGCTCTGTAGCCAGCCTTCTGCCTTGCTGGCCTCTTTGACAGTGGCTGTGTGGAGGGCACTGTGCTGTGGCAATGGGAAAATGAGAGAAATTCAGGTTGAATTAACTGACAAGACCTGTTCAGGATTCTACATCCCACACTTTGCCTGGCTTCATCTGAGTTTGTTAACCAGCCATATTGGAAGGTCAAACAGTTAATATTAAACTGAGTGATGGAAAAACTCCCCATGTCAACAGAGCAGCAAAGTAAGGTGTGTAAATGAGACTAAGAGAGTAATGAAAGCCAGAAGAGTGCAAGAAAAGGATGCTGAATCAAGCAAATTGAGTGCTCCTTTCCTTGTGCTATGGCCAAACTGTAGGGTGGGCTCATAACGCATCACATTTGTTGTGTTTGTGTTTGACATCTGTGTTTGAATTTTGACCTGGCTGTAAATCAGCTTAAGTGACACTGTGATGATTAAGGTGCCCAGCTAAGGAGGTAGGTGAAAATTACCTGGCTATTCTGGGAGGGATGTGTGAGTAAAAAATGAGAAGCAAAACCACCAAGCTATTTTTATATAAATATTTCTCATTGCTGTTCTTTTCCTTTGGATATAATCATGCTAAACAGGCTAATTTTTCTCAAGTTTCATGCTGTTGGTTGCCCAAGCAATCAACACCTTTCCATTACACCTTTCTATTCCACTCAACAGGAGTTTCTAGTTACCTCTTGGCAGATTCTAGGGCTTTCCTCTGCCCTTGACTTCTTCGAGCTTCTCCAGTCTTCAGCATCCCCCATGTGATCCCCTGCTCTTCCTGGCCTTTCATGGGAAAACCTGGGGGACTTTGTTCCTAAGCCTGTTCCCTTTCTCAGCTCATCACCCAAGTGTTTCTACATTTATAGGTACATACTGTAAAGGGTCTTCTTTGTAGCTTGGCACATTGATCATCGGTGGCATGAAGAGTCTTGCATGGCCATCAGATCTGTCCTACAGTGCTGTGTACAAGATGCTCTCTCCTATTCCGATTTACTCTTGAGTGGTCAACTTGGGTGATCTATCACCAGCTGAGTCTTAAGAAAGCCCACAGTTCTCCTTAATTTTCTTCTCCCGCTCTCTCAACTTCTGCTTTTCGTAGTTACCTTCTCTGTGCTACTCAGGCTCATGGGCCCAAGGTCAAGTAAGTTCTCATTTTCACACAGACCTTCTTGTGTCTTCTGCAGCTTCGTCCTCTGTGGTGCTCTTATTCCTTCCCCACCCATCTCTGCATATCCAAAATGCCAATACATTGTCTATTTGTACAGCTGCAGTAGTCAGAGTGCACCAGAAACAAAAATCCAGCCTCTTTCCATTGCAAGTGAGTTTGATCCAAGTGGTTATATATCAGCCTTTCAAGTGAAGCAATAGATAGCTGTTAGGACAACCTAAGAAAAATGAAGAAATAAAAAAAAATACTGGGAAGCAACTACATGATCAATGACGGGGAGAGAAAAATAGCTGCTTTCCATCACGGAGGTTTCTTAACTGTATGTATGTATATACTCATTGCCAGGACACTCCATAATATAAAAAGACCAGATATGCAGTCAAGAGTCAATGCCTATGGCAAGACCCTTAGGGGACCTGGTTCAGATCTTACACCAGTTTAACAATACGTCTCTGTTACACTTTGAGATATTGCTTTATGTTTAGCATCATAGTCTAGGGAAAGATTATTATCAAAGCTGTGGAATATACATCAAGAGTTTAAGACTGTTTCGTTCATTTGTTTTAAGCTTTCATTGATGCATTTCTTGTTGCACACTATACTTTCTTTTCACTTTTGTTGAATAAATGAAAGTGTGGGGGGCCAATAGGGCTGAGGAAGGTAATTGGAGGAAGTGACCATGCAAACAAAGCACGCGGGTGGTAGGGAGAGGAGCGCTTGCAGAAGCAGAGCAGGTGAGTACTGAGGGGCCCTGGGAGAGGATTTAGTGTCCGTTAGTGCTGGTGCTGCTTGTCTGTGTAAGGCAAAGAGAGCAGCCTGTGGATAGAAACCACAGGAATGCCCCTATGGTGTGAGGGAGGACATGCGGCAGCAATTGTGTCAACTGTTAACTAACTAGGTGTAGATCCCGGGGCACAACAAAAGCAGGTGGAAAAACAAAACAAAACAAAATCATAGCACTTCACAGTTTAAAACTGGCTAAGGGAAAAAGTAACAGGAGATGTGGGCATAATCTCTTCACCATGAGAACATGAAGCCTTCTCGTTTTGCATGTTTTTGCTTTTTATTTCGGCCTAGTGACTTTTAGGAAAGAAAAAAGGCCAATTGTAGCTTTACATGTTGCAGCCTGACAGTGGTTTTCCCAGGTTCCAGGAAAAGGAACCTAGTTTCTGCTTAGCAGTAAATCTGCTGCTTGTCCAGAGTGAGCAAGTCAGTGCTAGGTGACTAACAAAGTGCCAGTGCTGCCTGTTTTACAAGATAGTGGTGAATCACTGCAGAGCCAGAGGAACCAACCAGCAACAGGGCTGGCATGACACACAGCAGTGGATCGAAACCATCATTAACTTCGTCTTGTATTCCAGGCCTCTTATTTGTTTCAGTAAACTGAAGACACACACCAGGTTTTACCAAAACTTGCTTTGCTCAGGAAATGTTGACTGGAAACAGGAGGACTGATGGCTCATTTCCATGCAACATATCTTCCTCCATAAG